AACTACCACAACTGAACCAGGAAGAAATAGAAAGCCTGAACAGACCCATAACCAGTAAGGAGATTGAAACAGTCATCAAAAATCTCCAAACAAACAAAAGCCCAGGGCCAGATAGCTTCCCAGGGGAATTCTACCAAACATTTAAAGAAGAACGAATTCCTATTCTCCTCAAACTGTTCCAAAAAATAGAAATGGAAGGAAAACTTCCAAACTCATTGTATGAGGCCAGCATCACCTTGATCCCAAAACCAGACAAGGATCCCACCAAAAAAGAGAACTACAGACCAATATCCTTGATGAATACAGATGCAAAAATTCTCACCAAAATACTAACCAATAGGATTCAACAGAACATTAAAAGGATTATTCACCACGACCAAGTGGGATTTATTCCAGGGCTGCAAGGTTGGTTCAACATCCGCAAATCAATCAATGTGATACAACACATTAATAAAAGAAAGAACAAGACCCATATGATACTCTCCATAGATGCTGAAAAAGCATTTGACAAAGTACAGCATCCCTTCCTGATCAAAACTCTTCAAAGTGTAGGGATAGAGGGCACATACCTCAATATTATCAAAGCCATCTATGAAAAACCCACCGCAAATATCATTCTCAATGGAGAAAAACTGAGAGCTTTTCCGCTAAGGTCAGGAACACGGCAGGGATGTCCATTATCACCACTGCTATTCAACACAGTACTAGAAGTCCTAGCCTCAGCAATCAGACTACAAAAGGAAATTAAAGGCATCCAAATCGGCAAAGAAGAAGTCAAACTATCACTCTTCGCAGATGATATGATACTGTATGTGGAAAACCCAAAAGACTCCACTCCAAAACTGCTTGAACTTGTACAGGAATTCAGTAAAGTGTCAGGATATAAAATCTATGCACAGAAATCACTTGCATTTCTCTACACCAACAACAAGACAGAAGAAAGAGAAATTAAGGAGTCAATTCCATTTACATTTGCACCCAAAACTGTAAGATACCTAGGAATAAACCTAACCAAAGAGGCTAAGAATCGATACACAGAAAACTATAAAGTACTCATGAAAGAAATTGAGGAAGACACAAAGAAATGGAAAAATGTTCCATGCTCCTGGATTGGAAGAATAAATATGTGAAAATGTCTATGCTACCTAAAGCAATCTACACATTTAATGCAATTCCTATCAAAGTACCATCCATTTTTTTCAAAGAAATGGAACAAAGAATCCTAAAATTTATATGGAACCAGAAAAGACCTCGAATAGCCAAAGGAATATTGAAAAAGAAAGCCAAAGTTGGTGGCATCACAATTCCGGACTTCAAGCTCTGTTACAAAGCTGTCATCATCAAGACAGTATGGTACCGGCACAAAAACGGACACAGAGATCAATGGAACAGAATAGAGAGCCCAGAAATAGACCCTCAACTCTATGGTCAACTAATCTTCGACAAAGCAGGAAAGAATGTCCAATGGAAAAAAGACAGCCTCTTCAATAAATGGTGTTGGGAAAATTGGACAGCCACATGCAGAAAAATGAAATTGGATCATTTCCTTACACCACACACGAAAATAGACTCAAAATGGATGAAGGACCTCAATGTGAGAAAGGAATCCATCAACATCCTTGAGGAGAACACAGGCAGCAACCTCTTTGACCTCAGCCGCAGCAACATCTTCCTAGGAACATCGCCAAAGGCAAGGGAAGCAAGGGCAAAAATGAACTATTGGGATTTTATCAAGATCAAAAGCTTTTGCACAGCAAAGGAAACAGTTAACAAAACCAAAAGACAACTGACAGAATGGGAGAAGATATTTGCAAACGACATATCAGATAAAGGGCTAGTGTCCAGAATCTATAAAGAACTTAGCAAACTCAACACCCAAAGAACAAATCATCCAATCAAGAAATGGGCAGAAGACATGAACAGACATTTCTGCAAAGAAGACATCCAGATGGCCAATAGACACATGAAAAAGTGCTCCATATCACTCGGCATCAGGGAAATACAAATCAAAACCACAATGAGATACCACCTCACACCAGTCAGAATGGCTAAAATTAACAAGTCCGGAAATGACAGATGCTGGCGAGGATGCGGAGAAAGGGGAACCCTCCTACACTGTTGGTGGGAAGGCAAGCTGGTGCAACCACTCTGGAAAACAGCATGGAGGTTCCTCAAAATGTTGAAAATAGAACTACCCTATGACCCAGCAATTGCACTGCTGGGTATTTACCCTAAAGATACAAACGTAGTGATCTGAAGGGGCACGTGCACCCGAATGTTTATAGCAGCAATGTCTACAATAGCCAAACGATGGAAAGAACCTAGATGTCCATCAACAGACGAATGGATAAAGAAGATGTGGTATATATACACAATGGAATACTATGCAGCCATCAAAAGAAATGAAATCTTGCCATTTGCGAAGACGTGGATGGAACTAGAGGGTATCATGCTTAGCGAAATAAGTCAATCGGAGAAAGACAACTATCATATGATCTCCCTCATATGAGGGAGAGGAGATGCCACATGGGGGTTAAGGGGGTAGGAGAAGAGTAAATGAAGCAAGATGGGATTGGGAGGGAGATAAACCATAAGTGACTCTTAATCTCACAAAACAAACTGAGGGTTGCCGGGGGGAGGTGGGTTGGGAGAGGGGGGTGGGGTTATTATGGACATTGGGGAGGGTATGTGCTATGGTGAGTGCTGTGAAGTGTGTAAACCTGGCGATTCACAGACCTGTACCCCTGGGGATAAAAATATATGTTTATAAAAAATAAAATAAAAGATAAATTAATTAATTAAAAAAAATCAATGTAAAACAAATGATAAGGTATAACTTTAATCCATAAGACTACTGGATATTTTTAGATTATCAAACATGCATGCATACTTATATACAAACAAGTTTACTTCTAAATCATTATTGGTAAGGAATCTCACCTGTAATAAAGAAGGTAATTCTTCCACAACTGGTAAGTAAATATACTTTCAAGTATAAAAAAAAAAAAAAAAAAAAACCTAACAGCATTTGTAAAATATGTTTATCTAAAACATATTTGGAAAAATAAATATTTCATATAGCCAGGAAAATCTTAGAATAAGAGAGTAATAAAATGAGGAGATACAGCACCTAATACTAAAATTATAATCAAAAGGTACAGGGGAAGAAGTGGTTAAGCAGCTAGACTTCAGTCTATTTCTTTCTATATGGGGGGGGCGAAAATATGTAACCTACCTGTAATATTTTGTAAATATGCTAAACATAGACTTCTTCACTAACAAATTAATGGTACTTGACAAGGGGAAGAGCCCTTTGCTTTGCCTGCATTTAGCAAGATATTCCTGGTCTAAAACTGCCACAGTAAATGATTCTAGAATTTTCGGATTGGTCTTTCAGACATGGCTCCCTGGAAAATGCTACCTAGGGGTATGAAATAGTACAAATGGAGATGTTTTATAACTGAGCTGGCTTGTTCTGTGTAAATGACACATCTATACATATGACTTAAAACCTCATATATTGTATAAGGCATGTCCAAGATGGGAAAAAACGACCTAGGCATCTGCACTGAGACTCCAGAACCTCTCTCTCTGGTTTGCCTATATAACTTGGTCTTCTAAAAGAAATCAGGACCCCTGGAAAAAGTTAACTCCAGGGATGGAACAACATAAAAATAGCATGAGTCTGGAATGTCTTCTTAGACAGAAAAAAAGAAATTGCTCAAAGACTGATGGGATTGTCAAAGAGACATAGGAGTCAGCTTAAAAGGTCTCCTAAGAGTAAATCTGGGACAATTTAAGAATCAATGAAAAATAACAAAAATAATGGATGATAACAAATTGAATACAAAAAGGATCCATGAATCCACACTGATATAAATCCATAAATGGAGAGGTAATTTTCTGGGTCATGGTGGTGATAGTGTTTTATAACAGAAAACCAACCAACAAATGTAAACAGAATAATGCAGTTAAAAAATCACAATTAAGAATCATCAGAGTAAAATTAATCCAGTGAAAAATACTAAAGGAAGCAAAAACTAGCAAGTAAAATTGACTTGAGAACAGGATTTTATATACTATCACAAAATATCTCTTCACAAAATATTTATTGATAACAAACAGAATAAGGTAGTAAGACCTATATATATCATATACTACCAATGGGATGCAGTTAAAAAAAACAGTTTTGGTGATACTACAGCAAATATATATAAAATATATAAAAATAATATATATAAATAATATGATATATATAAACATGTATATAGAGGATTAACACTGAACAGAACTAAATTGAGTGGATTCTACATATCAGATTAGAGTATAATATTTTAAATCATCAAGATCATAAAAGCCTGGAGAAGATTAAGGAATCATTCTAATTCAAAAGACACTAAGAAGAAATAACTAGGTATGATACACGATCCTGTCTGGAATTTTTCCTATAAAAGATGGTCTGGAACAATGAGCAAAAAAATGGGAACTCTGAGTGGAAGTTATATTGAGGTTCTCTGTGAATTCTTAAAACAGTTTGAAATAGTTTAAACAGTATTTCTGAAATAGTTTAACTCTTCTAACCAAGAAACAGCTGGAAAAAGACAATTAGGAAATGCAGCCGCAGCACCATGGGCAGAAGAATGCACATTCAAAGGTCCCCAAAGCGTGTAAGACCCATTTGCACTGTTCTTAGAACACTGGTATTCTCAGAACGCTGTTGCTAAAATCTACATGAAACATTTCAAGTACAAAACTGTACTACACAAGCTGTAACCTCAGAATAAAGCTAATAACCATAAAATGAAGAGTAAAAACAGCCTGCTGGCCATTCAGGTCTAATTCTGCTAGTAAGGCTATTTTTTTAAATCATACCATACTGAAACTAGTAAGGTGTTGATAATTACCCATTCTCATCTATTTGCAGACTATATTTTAATAACACTAAATTGTACAGTATGAATTTTTATAAAGAAAATTTAGTGCAATTGCCTAAGGAGTACCTGGAGAGAACCCACTGTGACACCATTCATATGAGTCCAGAACAACAGGGTGCACCTTGGTCCCGTGCGTGAAATTACAGGAGTGAGTAGATCAGCCATGTCACCAAATTTTCCATTTGAGCTATCAGCATACAGGTACCAGCCATCTGTGGTATTTCTGCAGAAAGTACAGTGTGTATCAGATTTACAAAAAGAAGAAAATCATAAAATATAATACAGTTCATCACTGACCATGTTTTATGGTTCTGTAAGTTTTCCTAGAAGCATAATAATGTTTTATAGCATAATGATGATTCACAGTCTTCAGTAGAAATAATCTACTGCTTTTTTCTTGTAGCCAGGAGGATGCCACAGTTGGTTCGTTCAAGACTAACTCCATCTGATCAGTTTCTGGGGGCTGGGGACAAAGGTCACAGGCCTTAGCCTCATCTCATCCCAGAGGTGCAGAAATTCTGTCCTCCTGCCCAGACAGGGTTTGCCCACCATGGCTGCTTTTCTGAGGGAGTAAATCCAATGTTTACTTAATACCACATTGAGGGCACCTGGGTGGCTCAGTCGGTTAAGCGTCTGCCTCCAGCTCAGGTCATGATCCCAGGGTCATGGGATCGAGCCCCCCATCAGGCTCCCTGGTTTGTGGGGAGCCTGCTTCTCCCTCTCCCTATGCCTACTGCTCTTCCTGCTTGTATTCTCTCTGTCAAATAAATAAATAAAATCTTTTAAAAATATAAAAAGGAAGGAAGGGAGGGGGGAAAGTGGGAAGGAAGGAAGGAAGGAGGACTGTGTTGAGAGCTGGAGAAGAAAGATACCCAACATTGTGGACATCTGACTCTCAGCCAGGCCCTGGTCTCCTTTCCGGCATTGCCAGTGGGGTGTCCCAGAGCAAATGAACAAAGATGGCAAGGACAAGGACCATATGCCCTGCACTCCCTCTGCTCCCTGATCCTGTGGTACAAAGACCACTCACCATCTTCCTCAAAGCCTTCTTGCGCCTGGGCATTCCCTGCTTCTATCAGTCCCTTCCTCTAAGGTTCTCAGCTCCTTGACCTATCAGCTCTCTCCTAGAAAGTCAGGGTTTGGAGCAGTAAGATTATTTTTGCTTGAGTCTTTTTTCTAAGGAAAGGTAAAAAGCACTGTGGTAATCTTTATGCTGTTACAGTTTACTTTTTTTTAGAAAACAGATCTTAATAGCCTGGATGTCTGAGTTTCAGCATCAGAGTATCTTTTGGAAACTTGGAACAGCAAGAGTTCCACCTCTACAGCCTAAGGAGGGGACCCCTCACTCTCTGCCTCACCCCTCACTCATGCTTGCTCCCTACTGCCTGTGTTTCCAGGCCGTCCATCACGTGCACTGCTCACCTTTGATCCTGCTTGCGCCTGCACCCCCCACGTATATGGGGGGCACTGGTGGGTGTTGGGTTATTACTTTCCCCTGATTCCTTTCCCTGCCCTTGGTCTATCTGGTGGCCCTCAGAAAGTCACCTAGGAACTTGGCCATCCTCCCACAATGGGCTGAGACATAGTTTTGGGGATGCCAGACCCATCTCTGATCCTGCCTGCTAGTCTTGGAGGACAGGGGTTTCCGGTCTAGAGAAAGGTCTTCAGAGGGGAAACCAGGAAGTAGGACTTGAGGGTTGGTTAACATAAGCTTCCAGAAGTGAATCCACTGCCACTGGTTGCCAGATGTGTCCACATCTTTTTCCATGAGAGCCCACAGGCGGAAGGGAGTTGATTAAGGAACGTTTTAAAGAAATCTTTTGTGCCCTAGGAGCCCTAAGCAGGAAAGCAGCTTGCAATGATTTAACATTTGTGTGGGGTCAACTCAGGGGCAAGGAGCCTTTAGCCTAGGAACAAAGTGAGTTTCAAATACTAGATAATAAATCCATTTTTCTTTATTTTCTTTTTTTAAGCAGAAGCTGGTAATCCAGGACCTACATGTGAACAGCTTTATATGAATATTTTTGTACATGGGTTTCTTGGATTGGTGTGATACGTTATATTTAAGCTCCTTGAACACTGCGGATCCTCCTAATGTGGATAAATGACTGAGGCTTTGTAAATTCAGGGATGTTTGTGTGAATAAAGTTATTTGATGGCATCAAAGAAGCAACAAAAAAAAAAAAGGGAGCGAGAGAGAGAGGGAGAGAAAGAAAGAATTACTATTTTGATTTACAATCCATGTATCAGTTGGTACAATGTGTACAAATTATGGGAAAGGCTGAAATTATCAGTTCTAATCTGTAATTACTTGGTTGTGTGCTTTTTCTTTGTTTTTTATAATAATATTGCTAATAATGTCAGCTTGTATGGCTTTTTTTTTCAACATTTAATTTTTTTACTGAAGTGTAACTGACAATGTTATTAGTTTCAGATGAATCACATATTGACTTGACAATTCTAAACACTACTCAGTGCTTACCATAAGTGTGTCACCATTTGTCACCATATATTATTACAACATAACTGACAATATTCCCTATGCTGTACGTTTCACCTTTGTGACTTACTTACTTTATAATTGGAAATTTAAAGTTTGTACCTCTCAATCGATTTTGCCTATCCCCCCCATCTACTTCCCCTCTAGAAACCACCAGTTTGTTCTCTGTATTTAAGTCAGCTTGGTTTTCTGTTCATTCATTCTTTAGATTCCATGTGTGAGTGAAATCATATTTCCATGTGTGTAAAAAGGACTCTAAAGAACTGAATACTTTTAGAAGAGGCACATAAAGAAGAAAAATATATATAAAAAATTAAGCATGTAAAATAGGAAACTAGCCTGGGGTTCTACTTAGAAGTCTAAAAGGTTTTCAAGGTTCAAGTTTAATCTCTATTAATTTAGGTCAGTTTTATTTAAATATTGTTAATATTTTAATAAGCTGGTAGATAATTTTTAAAGTGTGTCTTTTTCTTCTACCACTGAATCAAAGAGGAAAATTTGGGATGAAAACAACTGAATATCAATATAATCTTGCCATAAAAGACAGAGTTGATGCCCCCACTTTAAATATCAATTCCAAAAAGAAATAATAAAACATTAAAGACAGCTAGGTAACACACAGTCTTCTGAAGTATTAAATGAAGAGGTGATTCCCCGCAGTTTGGGCATTTTCATGCATTTTGATTAATTAGATTTCTTACCACTTTCTCGCTTAAGTATTATGCTAGATACTATAGAATGTAAATTTGCTACTTATTAAAACCATTTTTATCTTGAAAGTTTCATCATTTTTCTTGAGGAAAGAAATGTGAATCACTAATAGCAAATCAATGGAGAAAAACATGTAAGTATTCATTCAACCCCCACATATTTATCATCAGTCTCTGCAGTTTTGCCTGCCGGAGGCCCCAGGAATGGCATTGTGGGCAAAGCATACAACAGGGGTTGGTCTCTGACCTCATCATTGACTAAGTGGACAACATTAGGCAGGTTAGTTAACCTCTTATAACATATTAGTTTCTTCATTTATGAAATGTTCCATATAACATCTTAAGAATTAGAAATAAAGGGTTCCTGGGTGGCTCAGTCACTGAGCATCTGCCAATGGCTCAGGTCATGATCCCAGGGTTCTGGGATCGAATCCTACACCGGGCTCCCTGTTCCATAGGGGGTCTGCTCCTCCCTCTGCTATTCCTCCAACTCATTCTCTCAATCTCTCTCTCAAATAATAAACAAATAAAATATATTTTTTAAAGATTTTATTTATTTATTTGACAGAGAGATCACAAGTAGGCAGAGAGGCAGGCAGAGAGAGAGGAGGAAGCAGGCTTCCCGCCGAGTGGAGAGCCTGATGCGGGGCTTGATCCCAGGACCCTGGGATCATGACCTGAGCCGAAGGCAGAGGATTAACCCACTGAGCCACCCAGGCGCCCCAAATAAAATATTTTTTAAAAAAGAATTAGAAATAAAATAAAGGAACATCTAAAACAGTACCTGGCCTACCTTATATATTTATTTATTTATATATTTATTTATTTATATATTTATTTAATAAATGACAGTTGTGATTTGTGGTTATGTTTATATCATTAGTTGCTGCTAATGGAATAAAGAGTTTAGTGTCCTACAAACCACAGAGGGTATGAGTAAAGATCATTTGTTAAGAGACAGGATTATTAAATTAATTTGAATTAATGTCTCTATATACATAAGCACTTCTAGCTTTGTTCCTTGTGTGCTTAATATCCCAGGATCCTAGGGATATCAAGAACAGAAATTAATATATAACTGATTCACTGATTTATAGATTCACTGAGATCTAGCACAATTTCTACAGATATTTTTTCCCAGATTGGCAAGCAGATATTAAGCTTCATATGGAAATCCAAAAGACAAAGAATAGCCAATTTTAATGTAAAGGAGAACAAAGAGAATTTATTGACAGATGTATTCATTATAAAGGTGGAATAATCAAGATACAGAGATACTGGAGTAAAGACAGGCAAATGGACCAGATAAATGGATGGAATAGTCCTAACACCCATTCATATATATATGTGCACACCTGACTTATGAAAAGTTTGGTGCTTCAGAGCACTAAAGGAAGGACAATCTCTTCAATGTGTACTGAATAAATTAGGTAGCAATGTGGGGAAAAAAAAGACAAACCCTGCCCTTATTTCACAGCCTTCAAAAATAATGAATTCCGGGTAGATGGCACCTGGAGTGTAAAAGGTCAAACAATAAAGATTCTCTAAGATGATCTAATAAAAACATCATGATGTGAAAGTGAGAAAGTCTTAATAATATACAAAAATTGCTAACCATGAGGGGAAGTCTTTAAAAATGGACTGTATCCAAATCAAGGATTTCTATCAAAGATACTGAAATGATGATCAAAGTCATCACTGAATCATCATTAGCAAATTGGAGGAAAACATATGTATCGCATTTAATGAATATAATATTTACTGACTGTTTGCTATGTACCATGGACTATGCAGGATGTTCAAACGTGTGTGGGTGTGTGTGTTGGGTGTGTATATATTGTGTGTGTGTGTATTGTGTGTGTGTGTGTGTGTGTGTGTGTGTGTGTAGGGGCTCTGTTTTGTTTTCAAAGCAGTACCTGGTTCATAGAAACTCAAAAACTACTCAATACACAAAATAAATGATTAAAATTAGTAAAACATATGTAGAAATAAAAAGACTAAAGGAGTGATAGA